AACGTGGTGGTGGCTGTGCTGTGTGTATATGTGCATCCTGATTTGCTGCACAGAAATATTCAAGATACATTCTCTTGAAGCGTGAGAGAAGAGGTGTGTCAGTTCAGAACCACTGCCACTGGCACACTTAGAAGAGACGCATCATCCCTTTCCTTGGGCCACTGATCTTGGAGGGACTATGGATTTCAGATCTGACCAAAGCTTAATAAAGAAAAAGGAAAATATATAAGAGATGACGTAAAACAAAATCCATCTACCGTATCTCAATATGGGACTTTCTTATCAGTTTCTTTGAGAATCTCATGTCAGACTTAAAGAAACAGATGTTTGCCATCTCCACACTATATTTCATAATGCTTTCATGTCTACTGTATTATCACTAATTCTAAAGTCTTTACTGGGAAAGGAGTGGAATCACTTGTGACTTAGGAAGCAATGATCCAGTTTGACATATGTACCTATCCAAATAAATAAATGTCAAATGAGAACAGCTGCTTAAAAGCCATGAGAAAATTTCGGAAAAACATGGAGCTAGAATTTCAACATAAACAAATCAAACCTATGGAAAAATAGCAGGCTGCAAGAAATCAAGCAACAAAGAATTTTACCAACACAGAAATTCATGACTCGTTCACTAATGAACAAAGTTTTTTTTTTTTTTTAAAGAAATGATCAAACTCTGGAAAAGTTCAGGTAATAAAATATTAAATATAAATTTGTTATATATTCTTTCACTCAGTAGGAAAATGACAAAAAAAGCAATTCAGTGCAGGGTAGAGGATTAGGGATTTCTAATGTAAAGTAGGAATAATGTGCATGAAACAATCAAAGTTTTTTTTTAAGACTTATTTACTTTAAAGTCAGAATTAGAGAGAGAGAGAAAAGATCTTCCATCCACTGGATTCCTCCATAATGGCCACTATGGCCATAGCCGGGCCTGTCTGAAGCCAGGAGCTTCTTCCCGATCTGCAGGGTATGGTGCAGGGACCCGAGGCCTTGCACCACCCTGCGTCACTCTCCCAGGTTATTAGCAGGGAGCTGGACTGGAAATGGGGCAGCCAGTGGAGACATGAACAGCACATATATGGCTTCTCAACACTAATTAAGTAAGTCAAGACTTGTATGATACTATAGCTGTTAATTAAAATATCAATACCCTTCATTCAACTGAGTTGCTCTTGCAAGACACAAATACTTCCTTCCCTACTGAAGAAGGCAGAAGCAGACAACAAACAGAACTTCAGGGCAGCTGGTTACCGTATCAAGCCTCTAAACTAGCCCAGGACGACACACAAATCACGGATCCTATTCATCTACTCTCCTGTGTCCTCTTTTGTCTTACTAGTAAAAAGTAAGGACAAAAATTACATAATTGCCAGGCAGGTTGTGGGACTGAAAATGTAATTTCTAGTAATAGTCTCTTAAAAATATTTATAGACCAAAAGGACAGAATATATATTTTTAAAACAAACCATAATTTAAAGAATTTACTAGTAAAATTAACTTTGTATTGCAAGCTCACACTTTAGATTACACTATAGCCCTGTCTGGTTGGATGCCACAGATGGAACAATGTATTCAACTTACTCTATTAGAGAGATTCAGTCTTAAGATTTCTTCTTTTTGGCTGACAGAATGCATGGAGTGTGTGCAGCAACTCAAAGCAACAGAACTCAAATAATAAAAGTGTTCATGCTTATAAATCTTGAGTATTTGTTATCTATTTTTAGAGACTGTTAAGCTTGAACTGCACACACACACATCTTTCATATGCCCAAGAAAAGTCCATCCTTTTGTAGCAAATAAAGTCTTGAGTAAAAAAGCCTTTTCTACTCACACTTGAAATGGGCACATGACTTCTATATTTATTCTTAATAAAAACATGTCAATTAAAAATAAGAAATAAGAAATAAAAAATTTAAAAAGGCAATTAATCATAGAACAAGAGATATTTGATAGGGAAAATTTTATTAAAAAGCAAAGCAAAACAGGCCCAGCACAGTAGTCTATCTAATGACTGAAGTCCTCACTTTGCATGCCTGGGATCTGAAATGAGCTCTGGTTCGTGTCCTGGCTGCTCTTCTTCCCATCCAGCTCCCTGCTTGTGGCCTGGGAAAGCAGTCGAGGATGGCCCAAAGCCTTGGGACCCTGCACCCACATGGGAGACCAGGAAAAAGCTCCTGGCTTCTGGTTTCAGATTGGTTTAGCTTAGGCATTTGTGGCTACCTGGAGAGTGAACCAGAGGATGGAAGATCTTTGTCTCTGTCTCTCCTTTACCCTGTAAACCTGACTCTGCAATAAAAATCAATTAATCTTTAAAAAAAAAGAAACTAATTATACCTGAGTTAAAAAGTGCGTTTGGGAGCCTGGCATGATAGCGTAGTGGGTAAAGTCCTTGCCTTGATGCCCCGGGATCCCATACGGGCACCAGTTCTAATCCCGGCAGCCCTACTTCCCATCCAGCTCCATGCCTGTGGCCTGGGAAAGCAGTGGAGGATGGCCCAAAGCCTTGGGACCCCGCACCCATGTGGGAGACCTGGAAGAGCTCATGGCTCCTGGCTTCGGATTGGCAAAGTTCCAGCTGATGCAGCTGTTTGGGGAGTGAACCATTGGATGGAAGAACTTCCTCTCTGTCTCTCCTCTTTGAATATCTGTCTTTCCAATAAAAATTTAAAAAAAAATCTTTAAAAGAAAAGTATGTTTGGGCAAGCATAATCCAGGCAAATCATCTCATGTACACTAAAAGCTCAACTTCTGGGACCAGTGCTATGGGTTAAGCTGTAGCCTGCAGTACTGGCAGCCCATTTGGGCATGGTTCAAGTCATGGCTACTCCACTTCCACTACAGCTCCCTGCTGATGTGCCTGTGAAAGCAGTGAAGAGGGTGCAAGGCCCTGGGCTCCTGCTACCCATGTGCGAGATCCAGAAGACGACCCTGGCTTTGATTTGGTCTATTCTGGCTGTTGTGGCCATGTGGAAAGAAAACCAGTAAACATAAGACGTTTCTTTTCTCTCTCTGTAACTCTACTTTTTAAATAAATGAATGCATCTTAAAAAAAATGTTTAAATATGAAAAGCCCAACTTCTAAAAACATGAGACATGTAACTATTTTTTTCTATGAGTTTCACACAAACAAACAAAAGATCCACAAGATATGCTGAAATATGTATTCCAACCTACAGGCAATCTTGAGAAGAATCTGGGTGGAGGGCACGGTACTGCAGCACAGGAAGAGCGTGTCATGATCTATCTCATAGTTCCATTCTTTCTCTAATGCACGAGGACACCACGAGACTACAGCCCAACTTCGTGGAGCTCTGCCACCGATGTGGGAGACCCACATAGCTCCCGGCTTCTCTCTCCCTAGCCCACAGCTGTAGACACAGTGGACTGAACCAGTAGCTGGAGCATCTTTGCCGCTAGCTTTCAAATAAATAAACCTTTTCAAATAATAGTCCCAACCTCTAAGCTTTTGCAGTGAAAAACAAAACAAAACAAATCCAGGAAATGTAACTATAGAGTTTTGTTAACTAATACCTTCCAAATGAACTTGGCTTCAACATCTCTTTTTCATGGTGACTTTAGTAGTTTATTTATTTTTATTTTATGTAAGGATTTTTATTTTTTTAAAGATAATTATTTTGATGATTTTTGTATAGTGATTAGAGTGATAAGGATCAAGGGCTACAGGAAGGTGGGTGAGATCATTATTTCCACATTTCTTTTTTTTCTTCCTGCAGCTGGGGGAAGTGGGAAGATAAGGGCAGAAGCCATACCCAACCTCTGAACCATCTCCAAATCCTGGTATAGAGGACACCTGATGTGGGGCAAGCTCCGACGGCCCTGCTCGTGAGGCTTTGATAGTTCAACAGTTCTGAATTATTGCCAGTCTTGTCACCGCAAGCACAATGAAATCTCTCCAGAATCCACTGGTTGACATGGTGCACCTTGGAGTCTCCGTTTACTTAGATACTCACTGCCAACACTTGGCATGGTACTTGATCAATCTGTTCTGTTCTCTGTCTTCTGTAATGGTACCAGGCGTGTTATTTATTTTTAAAAAAGATTTATTCGTTTATTTGAAAGTGAGTGAGTGTGTGTAAGAAAGAGACACAGAGAGAGATATTTTCCATTTGCTGGTTCACTTCTCAGATGGCCTCAATAGCTAGAGCTGGGTTGGTCTGAAGCCAGGTGCCAGGAGATTCTTTCCAACCTCCCATGTGGGTGCAGGAGCTCTTGGGTTTTGCCTTGCCAGGTACATGAGCAGGGAGCTGGGTTGGAAGTGGAATACTTGAGACTGCCCATACAGAACTCTGGCATTCCACCATTAGGCCACAGCACCGGCTCCAACCAGCTTATTTTTTAAGCTATTGTTACAGATAATGTCGAGAATCAAAGGGACTTCAAACTCATCAAGCTGATGTTTTAATCCTTATAAACACACTCTGATGGAAAACTTGGGCAGGTTATGCCTAAACAATTTTACTGATAGAGAATGTATCGAACGGTAAGACATTTTAAAAAGCTCTATTAGAAGGCTTATCTTTACCTCTTTTTTCCCCACAGTGTTTGCCCAAATTGGAAATGACTACAATAAACACATATGGATGAACATAAAAATAGGCAATCTTTATAACCCTGAATGAACTAGTGACACAACAAAATGAAGAAAACATACAACGTTGAGTGGAAGATGTTAGAGAGTACATATTCTTTATCATTTTTATTCTAAGAAATCAAGAACTAAACTGTGTGATAGCAGAAACCGGTTGTTTCTGAGGGATGCTGACTAACATGGGCCGTAAGGGCTATAAGCGAACTAAAGTTACTGAAATGTTCCGTATCAGGTTTTCAATGTATGTGCTAACTATACATTGTAAGAGTAACACATATAAATTATATTTCAACTGAAAATTGTACTTGAATTAAAATAATTTTAAAAGAAAAACTAACAAGAACACAGTAGAAAAGTTTAATGTTTCTGTTTTCAGCATGCTTACCTGTCCAAAAGCTGGTCATGTTTTTCCAAAGCATCCTTTTCAGCCATCACGGCTCTGTCCTTTTCAGCAATAGCATTATCCCTTGCTTCTCGAAGGTGCCTAAAATTTGAACATATATCACAGTTACCTCCATGTGTAAGTAGATAGTTATCTTCTAAAGATGCGTGAATGTGCTTACTACTCAGAGTTGCACTGACAAAGTTCTGCTGTTGTGAATGGACAGCCTGGCTTGGGAGCACCACCGACAGCAGGCTGTGGGGAGCACCACCGACAGCAGGCCGTGGGGCAGGTGCAGTCTCTTTCAAACGTCACGAATGCATTGATAACAGAACGTGGTTTTCTATTATTCACAGGGAGTCTCAGGGAAATCTACAATTTGAAAAGTCTCTCCACATTTATCCCTGGGTTGAAAAGTAGGGTAAACAATTTGCATGTACAGTAACTCATTTAGTCCTTATCATAATCAGTAAGGAAGTTAAAATTACTCATACATAAGCCACAAGGACTGAGAGGTTATATATGTTCTGTAAAATATTTAAGTTAAAGTCATATGCAGATCAGTCAAGATGGGCATGAAGCCTGGGCTATGGACCAGAGGATACCGGAATGACAGACCTGGGGGTCTTCGTTGTACAGGAAACGGGGAGGGGGCAGAAGGATCACAGAAAGGCTGATAAATTGATGGACAGTATAAAGGATAAGAATGGGAGGTCCTTGTAGGATGACAAGCAGCTGAAATGGAAGTCATCTTTCAACCTGGATGAAGAGCAGTGGAGACTGCTATTGGAGAATGGGTATTTAGAGGCAAAACTGCAACTTCAGAAGCAGATTTCTAGAAATGTCCCTGATGACAAGTAAAGGCACAGCCATTCGGGTGGCTGAGCAAAGCAGAGCTGACATACAGGCTCACGTAGGGCTCCCAGAATTGAGACACGGTATTAGATCCTTTATCTACCTAGAGCGGTGAGCACAGCACGAATGGAAATGGGCTGGGAGATGAGATCTAGAGGTTTAGAGCCGTGAAAGGGGGTGTCCCCAAAACAGAAGGCAACAGTGAGTAATCAGGAGACTTGACAGTCAGGAAGGAAGCTACAAAAATCAGATTCTCCTTTTGCTTTAATCAAGATAAAACCACGAATCAAGAAAAACATCAATAGTGTATTAAAAAAAAAAAAAGAAAAACTCATTCTAGCGATTATAAAACAAATGCGGAATTTTATGAACATGACGATAACGGACTTTGTTGGTTTCCCTGCTACAAGTCCCCACAGGCCACATTTCCTACTCTGTTTTCTTTAGCTGAATACACTGAAGTTTACACCGTTTATGGACCTAGTCTCAAATCATCCAGCTTAGGTGTTAACAACACACAATTTAAAGCCAGCTCTGTTTTCCTCAAAAGCCAATGGCTTTCACATTACACAACACCTTCTTCCGTAAAGAACTGGAATAGATGGTTAAGGTTGTTATTCACGGAGGAGCCAGGAGGGAATAATGAAGGTCCACAGAGTTGGAGTGAACCCATTTGCCAAACACTGGCTAGAAATGCCTGGTGGTCATACTCGCCGTGCCAGGATGGAATATATTACTTTGAATGGTTATGCTAAACAACAAACTTTAAAGTTTAAAACATGTCAAACATTAGTGATCTGTCAGGAAAACATTTTTAAGAACAAAAAATAAAAACGTTTCTTCTTTTCTAATTGGAATGCAGGTAACTTATTAAACAGGAATAGCATTTTTGTATGTTATGATCTAAGTGGAAGTATGTCCTAAGATGTGACAGAATTCATGTTATTTTCAGATGTCTACTGATGATAATGAGCTTCAAAAATATCTATCATCAAAGCAACTGAAACATGAAAAACTAAAGACAATAGAACTATCAAAATATTATAAACATATATTATTGGATAACCTAAATATTTTAGTTAGCAAACCATCACAAAATGGTTTTCATTTTCACTTCTCATATACAGCCTCATTATTCTCTACTTTATTTCATTGGCAGAACTCAAAACAGGTCACAGTTACAGAGCTAATTAGTCATGAATGCTTAGTTGGTAGATGCAGGAAAATTTGCGTCCTCTGCATCCCTAACTTATTTCCTCACTGACAACAATGCGCATTAGGAGTGAAAGCATCGGGGACTGATTTAAAAGCCTGAAGAAACTACTATTAGCACCTGCGAGAGAAGGTGTAATTAGAAGGTACATTCGCCATACAACCAAATAATTACAAGTGTTATAGCACAAACAAAACGCTATGGCCACAAAGCAGAGGATTTGATTACTTTTAATAAGAGAAGTAAATAAGATATCTCTAAAAAGTGACACCCAACATGGACTTTAAGAAACAAATAGGTAACATAATTCAGAAAGAGACAAACGAAACTAGTGGGTCATCTTGCAGTAAGGTGTCTGTGGTTAAGATTTCTGCGTAAATCCGCTCTCCTTACAGGTACCACACTGGGCACACCTGTATACCTGTTATAGGAAGCAGCCCAGTTCCTTACATGGGAATATTTCCTTTAACAGTATCTAGTCTGTGAGGGGAACTGAGTGGATTCTTCCACCGACAACAGAAGCAGCAAGCAGCGTTTACCACGGCCAGGAACCACGGCCAGGAGCCCCAGCCAGGAGCCACCACCAGGAGCCACGGCCAGGAGCCCCAGCCAGGAGCCACCGCCAGGAGCCACGGCCAGGAGCCCCGGCCAGGAGCCACGGCCAGGAGCCCCAGCCAGGAGCCCCAGGAGCCGTCAAGGCACTTCACCAGATGACAACTTGCATCTGTCACAAAGTGTAGCTTGTCTCAATACTTGTATGTTACAGATGAGAAGACTCAACTCTAGAGAGATCACGCATCAGCAACAGGTCACTGGGAGGAAGTCATGGAGTCCAAATGTGAAACCAGTCTGGCTCCAGAATTCTTAGGCTAAACCATTCTCTCCTGCCTCATAAAGATTTCCTTTGTTTGGGCCCAGTGCTACAGCCTAGCAGCTAAAGTTCCCACCTACACATGCCGGGATTCCAGATATGGGTGCCAGTTATAATCCCTGTGGTCCTGCTTCCCATCCAGCTCCCTGCCTGTGCCCTGGGAAAGCAGTCGAGGACGGCCCAAAGCTTTGGGACCCTGCACCAGCGTGGGAGACCTGGAAGAGGCTCCTTGCTCCTGGCTTAGATCGGCGCAGCACCAGCTGTTGCATTCACTTGGGGAGTGAATCATCGGGCGTAAGATCTTCCTCTCCGTATATCTGATTTTGCAATAAAAATAAATAAATCTTAAAGAAAAATCTTTGTTTCATAGAGGTTTTCTCCTCAGGAAATTCTGAGGTTTATATTATATGACAACCGCAAAGCACAAATGAGTGTTAAATGCAAATTAATTTTTTAAAAACTGTGAGTATATTATGCATCTGCTATTATGGTCCACAGTGGGAATGTGCTTTTCCAAAATCAGGCTGTTTTGACAAAACATCAGATGGACTGCATTCCTGCCCTGGATAAAACAATAACTTCCATAACTAACAAATAATCCATTTCTGTTAAGTGCATTGGAAAATATAACAGAAATACAACTAATGGCCAAACAGCAGGCATTCAAATGTCTTCAAAAGAGAAAGCTTGGGGCTAGTATGATGGCTCCAACAGACTAATCCTCCACCTTCAAGCGCCAGCACACCATATGGGCACCAGTTCGTGCCCCGGCTGCTCCGCTTCCCATCCAGCTCCCTGTCTGTGGCCTGGGAAAGCAACAGAGGATGGCTCGAGTCTTGGGGCCCCTTCTCCCAGATGGGAGACCCAGAGAAAGCTCCTGATTCCTGGCTCTGCACTGGCTCAGTTCCAGCTGCTGCAGTCATCTGGGGAGTGAACCAGTGCATGGAAGATCTTTCCTTCTCTCTTGCTCTCTCCTCTCTGTAAAAATACATAAATCTTAAAAAGAAGAGAAAACTTGAAGAATGGATAGAAGTTATCAGAGGCATGAGTAAGCTAATGTCTAAACCGAGTGTATAAGCAAACATAACTATAAAGAGAGACGCTGGGAGTTGGCCAAGCACCTAACACAGTAACAACTGTTTCACAATGTGAAACATGAGGACAGCCACTCCTGGGACTGCACTGGGGCCCGAGTCAGGACCTGACACCAAGACCCCTGTTCTGGAACATCAGGAGGCAGGTGCTCGGTCGGAACTACTCGGTTGGAACAGCAGGGACAGAGATTTTTTTTTTTAATGACGATAAAGCCAATATATAAACTCTTTGCAGGAATATGGCTGCAAAGGGAAGTAAGGAAATAGGCTGCTAGCTAGAGGCAGAAGTGGCAACTAGAAGAAAGGCTTTTAAAATGGAGAGACTGGGCTGGTATCGTGGCATAGCAGGTAGACACTTTTGACCCAGCTCTCTGCATGCGTGTGCGAAAAGCAGGAGATGGCCCAAGTGTATGGGCCCATTCTGCACCCACATGGGGAGACCGGAATGAAGCTCCTGTTTCCTGGCTTTGGTCTGACCTCTTCCCACTCTCTGTAACTCTGTCTTTCAAATTCTGCCTTTCCACATAAAACAACTCTTACAAAAAATGGAGAACCAACACGTCTGTACATAGCTGGGAATCCTTGGGCAGCCGAGGTGGGAGGCACCAATGGCGCTGGAGATGCAGGGAGAGATGCTGGAGTTGGTCCTTGAGCACTGAGAGGCAGGGGAGAGGCTGGGCTTTAGGTTCAAGTTACCAGAGAGACAGGCTCTGTCCTTACATCACAGCATTTTATAGAAACATAAAGCCCTCTTCACTAACTTCCTGACTATAAATGCTTTACTAAGTTCTAAAGATCCCTACTTAGCCCTCAAGTACAGAGTGGGTTAGTAAATGCTCTTCGAAGATCGAGTGTCTCACGGTTGGCTTTGTGGCACAGCAAGTCAAGCCTTGACCTGCATCCCATGAGGGTGGCACTTTGAGCCCTGAAAATTGGACTTCAGATCCAGCCTGCATCTGTAATCTGGGACTCACAGTCATGCCTTATCACCCATGGTCATTCTGACACTACTCAAGTGGAGAAGGTGGAGTCATTCCTGAGTTTCATTTCCTGTCAATCATTAGGCCTT